TAATTTAAACCTCACTATTAGATAAATAAGGACTTCAACTATTAGAAAAAAATTTAATTTACTCATAATCTAATATTTTTTATTTTACATTGGCGGCGAAAGGACCTCCTTAATAAAAATTTATTCATATAGAGGACACTTAAAAGTACGCGTATTCAAAGATTAAAGAATATTGTAAGAAAAGTGATTTTTCACAGTACCTCCTTAAGAATTTTTGTTTTAAAAATTTGAGAAATCAATAATTCAATAATTTTGGTGTAAAACTTCTTAGTGATTTTTAAAAATTAAATTAATATCGACGGTCCAATTAGCAATTTGTCTAGCGATAGTCCAATTATAAATTATTTGAATGATTCAAACTAAAATATTATACCTTTATTAGATATTAATAATATTTAATTGGTTTTTTAAAGTGATAATAAATTTTGAACTAATTGTTTTTTTTTTGTACAAATGGAAGATTCTCTAAAATGGAACTAGACAATTTGCTAATTAGAACGTCGATATAAACTTTTTGAATTTTGATTTTTACAAAATTTAAAATTATTTTTAGTTGAAAATATGAATTTTTATATCGACAAAAAAATTAAAAATTTTTTGAAAATTTTTAGTTTCTGGGGCATTCTATAGTGACTGGTAGGACATTTAACTCTGAAATTCTATCAATTATAAGCTATAATTATGTAACTGAAACTTATACTATAGTAAAATTTATCTGATAATATAAAAGAATAAATAATTAACAATATTCCTTTGTCAAAAATCTCGATTACTTTTTAAGTTTCCCGTAATTATCATTTGACTGAGTGTGACTGGTGAGACATCGAAAAATCCTTCTCTCTTACCGCGGTATACTTAAAGTCCAATTTCAATTCGACTACTAAACTTTTAAAAAATACTTCCCTCTCAATACAAAATTAATCCTACAAACATTGAATATTTTGAAGAATTAGACTGATTACCTACGTAGAAACAATTAAAAATATTTTTTTTATTGTGACTGGTGGGACAAGTACAAAATGTGTACATGAAGTTGTTTATTAAAAAAATTTTTATATTATTTTAACCTTAGAAACATTATTGTTTATATATTTTACTATAAATTATTTAGGATAATTAAAAAAACTTATTAAGGGGGTATTCTAGTCTAGAAGCATGAATTTCAGGTAACTTTTTGAAGTGCCGTAAAAAAAAGGCAATCAATATTTTTACGATACATTTTTTTATAAGTTATTTATTAACATTACAAGAATACAGAAAAAAATAAAAAAAGTTGAAGATTCAAAAAATTAGCAGCTGATGAAGTGGAGGGGGGGGAGTCTCAAAAAATTGGCACGTGACCATGCCCACGATTCCAACCCTCCTAGCAATCGGAAATAAAAAATTAAAAAGATTATTAATCTAGAGTAATGTCGCTATGGCATGAACTAGGGAAAAGTTAAATAAAAAATTTTTTCACAAAATGGCGACTGCTTGAAAAAAAACATTTTTTTTGTACTTTTTCGAATTTTTTAAAAATAGTAAAAATTGAAATTTGGGGATGATCCTAGTTCATGCCCCAGCGACATTACTCTAGATTGATAATCTTTTTTATTTTTTTATTTCCGATTGCTAGGATGGTTGGAATCGTGGGCATGGTCACGTGCCAATTTTTTGAGACCCCCCCACTTCATCAGCTGCTAATTTTTTGAATTTTCAACTTTTTTTATTTTTTTCTGTATTCTTGTAATGTTAATAAATAACTTATAAAAAAATGTATAATAAAAATATTGATTGCCTTTTTATTACGGCACTTCAAAAAATTACCTGAAATTCATGCGTCTAGACTAGAATACCCTCTTAAAAAACACAAATGAAGGATTTAGCATGCTGACAACACGATCTTGATAAACTTAAGTGTTAATTAATAACGAACAAAAAAATTTGTTCTTAAAACTATAATAATAATAAATATGTTAGTTAATAACAAACATAAAATGAATTTGTTCTTAAAACTATTAAAACAACATTTGACCCGGACACAAGTTAGTACTAGGAAAGAAAAATCGATTTTCTTATTGATTAAAAAAAAATTTTCTTTACAAATTAGTAAAATATAGACTTTTGATAATGAATTAGGACTAAATTAGAATGAATTAGAGAAATTTTTTAATTTTAGTCATTTTCCCATGGAATGCCCCATAAACTTTTTGAATTTTGATTTTTACAAATTTTTTTTTTTTTTAGTTGAAAATACAAATTTTTTATACCGACAAAAAAATTAAAAATTTTTTAAAAATTTTTTTTTGCCCCATTTGAATTTTTTTTTTATTTAATAATATTTCTGACTATTATAAAAGTGATTACCACAAAATATAATAAAATTATAAAATTTTTTTCTCATATACTACCGGTAAAGATTATTTAAAAATTGATTTCACGAAAACGACCTTGAAAAAAAATATATTAACATGTTTATAATTATATACAATATTTATCGATCACCTGTTACCTTTAAAATTTCATTATAAATTACATAAAAACACAAATAGCTCCATATAATTTTAGTTACATAAAATAATTATAAAAAAAATATTCTCATAAATTTTCTAAAGTTAAAAAATTTTTCAAATTCAATAAAATAAAACTTAGTGGCCTTGAATTAAAGCAAGCTTTCACACGAAGGGTTAGCGAAAAGAAATCAATAAAGTTCCTCGAGTCGTAATAACAATAAAAAAAAGACAAATTAATTAAAAAAAGTAACATACACAGATTGAGCGGCCTGGGGTTTGTCGGCTGCTGGTTTTGTTGGGCGAATACCACTGAACAATCGGCGACTATAAAAGTCAGAATAAAATTCCACCAATACCAATTATCCATGATGGTCAATAGACATGAGCATCAAGTCTCATTGAAATACTCTGTCTGACTGAGCATCGGAAACCAGAGTCCCTGCTGACAGGATGTCCAGCTTGATCGTGTTTGTCCATCGGTTGCCGCGGGGATGACCCGATCAATCCACCACTTCGCCTTTTTTTCCTGGGCAGCCTTTTCTAAGCCTATCAGCAGTAGTCCTTCGGCTGACGTACTGACGTGTCTATTACTACTCTCCTGTTTACCCAACAATTGTTATTTTATTAACGTATTATTAAATGACACGTACCTCCGCCAGTACGCAGGAGCTCGTTTTTTTCCTTGTCATTTTGTCCTACTTTCAGCCACCTTTTTTTCTATGAGCTTTTGTCTCGAAAATTGAAACTTTTTAAAGGATAGAAATAAATGTATCAAAAATATTATGTAAGATGAAAAAGTCTCTGATGTGTAATGGTATTTATTAAAGCTGAGAGAAGATTTAGGGAGAAAAAGATTCGAGCTTTTATGTTTATTTATGAGTTTTAATTTGCTCTTCAATATATATGTAGAGTTTTGCTATGGAGATTTTTAAATTTTCATTTTTTAATAAAAGCTAAGTTTCATCGGAAAAATAAAAATAGAAACTATGCCCCAGGGGTAAGTGAATATTTGATGAAATTTTTAAGTACCAACATGATTTCCTACGAAGTTTTATAAGATATTTAATTTCCTCTTTTATTTTTTTAATTTGTTAAAGTTTTTTTATTTGCTAACAATTAAAATAATAAAAAAAAAAAATTTAATATAAAATATTTAAAAAAATTAAAGTAAAGAGTGCAAAATAATTAAAAATTTTTTAATAAATTTTTGTATAGAAAATTTGAGTTTTAGAAACTGGAATAAATTTTTTTAGCAATTTTGAAAAAAAATTTTTCATCCCTGTAAAATTGCAGATGTAAATTGAATATTTTCTTGAGCTTTTAATAAAATAGCAAAAAAATTTTTGGTAATTATTTACAAGTGGGGTCTAGGTGAAAAATAAACATTTAAAAATTTTTTTTTTATTCTTCTTTTTTTTTACGGCGCATTTATGATAAAAAATGTGAAAGGAAAAAATAAAAATTTCGATAGCTTTTTTGTTTTTAAAAGTTGGAAAAAATTTTTATTTTTTTGGATGAAATTTCTATTTAATTTTATTGAAATATTATTTTTTTTACATAAAAAAATGAACAGTTTAAAAAAAAAGTTGATTATCACATTTTTTTTAAATTGTTCGTTTTTTTATGTACTTTTAAAAAAATAATATTTCAATAAAATTAAATAGAAATTTTATTAAAAAAAAATGAAAATTAAAATGGTTTACCCCACTTTTAAATATTTACCAAAGTCTGAAATAATTCAAAATTTTTTGTTGAATTTTAGTAAAAAATTTTTGTATAGAAAATTTGAGGACAATTTTGGAATAAATTTTTTACAAAATTCTTTTAGCAATTTTGAGAAAAAAATTTTTTATCCCTGTAAAATTGAATATTTTTTTGAGCTTTTAAAAATAGTAAGAAAATTTTTTTAAAACTTTGCATCGATAAATATTGAAAAAAAATTTTTTTTTTCTTAATTTTTTAGTCCTCTAAAAGAATTATCCCTGACAATTTTTCACAGTGAAAATAATATTTGAGTACACTTTCGACCTAAATAAAAATAATTATTAAAAAAAAAAAAGTAGTATCAAAATCTTGTTATTACATTGAACTTTACCACAAAAAGTGGCATTTTTATCACATCAATGTAAAGACTTTTTTCTCTACGGAAAAAAAAAAAACAAAATGTATTTTTTTATACACTCGGATGGGAATGAATGAATAAATTAATATTACGCGTATGTTCCACGTGTGAATAATTTATAAAAATTCATAAAAGAGGGTAACAACCCTCTTGTTATTATTATTCAAAGGCGGAAGAATTTACGTACAAAAAAAGGATAAATGGATTATATAGTCTTTCGCACAAATGTGAATACATAAGAACGTGTGAGTATATAAATATAAATAAAGACATATGTGTATACCGTGTTATCGGACACGTCAGGTGAGTCCTGGGAGTACTACCGGTACATATATCGACTATTTTCCACGCTTGCGTACTGCATCCTCCATTACTTGGAGTCACTTAAAAATTTAATTTTCTTTGAAATTAAAGAATTAAAACAAACGGTAATTGTAAAATGAAATTGATATTTAAATAAAAAAAATTAACACAATTTATATTTTTATTTTTATTTATTTTACGCAAGGACAAAAGGTAAAAATTATATAAATTATTTTATCGTTTTGTACAATATTTATTTATTTATTTGCTAATTAAATCCAATAATTAAACCATCTATTAATAATTACATGATTACTGTGTTTTATTATAAGATTTATTATTTTACGGTTAATTTGATTAAGGTTCGCATTCGGCATTAATCAAAAAAAGAAAAAAATATTTTTATTGCTTTTCCAATGGAATAAATATTGGATTTAACAACTAAAATTACAATAACTTTAAATAAATAATCTAGTATTTTGTAAATAAATTTTTAAACGGTAACATTTTTAAATTCAAATAATCGACTGCCTTTGTTCGGGTTTAATTATTTACACGCAGTCGAAAAAACGCCAAAGGAGCTTTGTCTTTTACTCTTATCCATTAACAATCTTTAATTTTTTTTTTCTACCATTATAAATCTTTGATCAATCACTAAGAGTATAATTTATTTAGTTTCTTTTTTATCGAGCATTATTTTACGTAGTTTCTCATTTACTTGCACATATTTGATGAATTCCTCGAATTTAAATTCATTAAAGTCAAATATACATTCATGGATTCGAACGTTAAGATAATTTAAGAGTCGGAAATGTCTTCTATCTTCGATATAACGTCCCATTTCTTTTAGTTCCATTTTTTATTAAGAACACATTCAGGCATTTGAATTCACCAAAATGATAGAACTCCTACGGTTTCCTGTATATTGCTACACTTATAAATCACAACCAACTGAGTTTTTTTTTATCGCTTAGATTCTTCATTAATTTTTATTATTTAACTAACAACATACAAATATGAGTGATTAACTCAGCTTTTTTTTATCTTAATCACCCATATAAGTAAGCCACATAAATATATGCTTTTAGATTTATTTTATTACTTACAATTTTTTTTTATAATGTTAAGATAATATCGTGGGCAACCAGGCCCTAGTATTCTCCTTGAGATATTCTTGATAAATTATTTTTTTTTAATAAAATGTATACTTTTTAATAAAATCCGGGGAGAAAAATATGATCTGACCATGTGTGACCATGTATGATCACTGACCATTGGTCATATATGATCATATCTAATCATTGATCACATGTGATCATATATGATCATTGGTCACACGTAATCATATCTGATTATTGGTCAGATGTGACCATATCTGATCATCGATCAGGTGTGACCATATCTGATCATTGGTCAGATGTGATCATATCTGATCATTGGTCAGATGTGATCATATCTGATCATTGGTCACTTGTGATCATATTTGATCATTGATCACTTGTGATCATATATGATCATATTTGATCAGTGATTATATCTGATTATTGGTCGCGTGTGACCATATCTGATCATTGGTCAGATGTGACCATATCTGATCATTGGTCAGATGTGACCATATATGATCATTGGTCACATGTGATCATGTATGATCATTGGTTATATGTGGTCATGTATGATCATGTCTGATCATTGATCAGATGTGATCATATCTGATTATTGGTCACAAGTGATCATCTGATCATTGGTCATGTGTGACCATATCTGATAATTGGTCAGATGTGACCATATCTGACCATTGGTCATTTATGATTATAGCTGGTCATTGGTCACATGTAATCATATCTGATCAGTGGTCATGGCTGATCACTGATTATCTATGACCAGATCTGATCAGTAATTGGTGGACAAGTGCAATCATATTTAACTATGTCTGATCGATGATCAAGCGTGACCACATTTGGTCATATCTGATCATGTCTGATCACTGGTCAGTGATCTAGTATGACCAGGTGTGATCACTTATGATCACGTAGATCTAATCAGATCTTTCCATAATCTTTATTAAACAAAATCTGGCGAAATATAATCAGATCTGATCACAACTAATACTGTATCTGATTATATATCAATAGATCTGCCTGGTCATAATTTTCCTGGTCAGACATGATTTTATCTGGTCAGATTTTTATTTCTGTCCCAGGGAAGGGAAGGTATCATTGCTTAAAATTTATTAATGAAAAATAAATATATTTGATTAACAAACTTAAATACTAAATCTTGAATATTTCAATCGAGAAAGAACAGTTTATGGAAATAAAATAAATAATAATAGAGGTTATTTATTGAAAATAAATTTATCAATAGAGGTGTGCGAGTCTTAATGGAAGCGAATATTGAATGGCTTGAAACTATTCAGAGTTTCAAGTATTCACATTCCTACTTATAAATCAAAGCGATCAACAGTTTATTGGGTGGGGACGTTTATAAAATTACTCAATTCATTAAATTATTTTTCTACATAAATATCAATTTAATAAATCTAATATTAAACTCCTTCACAATCGAACGTAAAAAAATAATTATTTTCTTTAGAACTATCACAAAATTCTTCAAATTAAACTCCATGAGCTCTAATGAGTTCTTGCTCTTAGAATTTTAAAAAACCAAGAAAGTTTATTTTGTGTTCACGAATTGGAGCAGTATTTTTTAATTAATCTAACCTGACTTTAAAAATAAAATTTTAATTCTTCAAATGGTAATTACCTTGAAATATTTTTCGTGTTTATAGCCATTAATTATTCTTTACTATTCTTTGTTTTTTATGTTTTTCCCGTAAAAATGAAAATTACTTGAAAGCCGCATGAGTAGCCTTTTTTTTTTACCAACAACACGAAGAGTTATTTGACCAAGTAAATATACTCGAGAAGTAGTGCTTTTTCATT